TGAAAGATGGTCCGAGAGGGAGGAGGAGAGAGTTTGTTTCTGAGACGGAAAAACTCCTGATGTCTGTAAATGGTGACTTCAAACGCCAAGATGGCCAACATCAACAAGTTATTCTGAGAAAGAAAGAGAAGAGCGAGAAGATGAATGTAAACGAGCTCTGTACATCAGAAAGTCAATCACTTCCATCAATGAAATGCTTCATCTTCAGAAAAGAAAGTCTCTCCACCTCAAGAGGATACATTAAATAATACATGTGCTTTTGGATTTGTTTTATATTTACTGTATTTGCCAATTGTGCCAACTTGTTACTAAAATATGGGATGATTAACTACAAGGGGAACCCTGATTTGTGTGATTTTCTAGCAATAAACTTTAAAGCTGCAGTCTGTCTCTGTTTGAAACCTGCATGTGTGGGCTTTCAGTCAACACACCAGTGTGGATATTCACTGTACTTCCGAATTACAGATACTACGACTTGGAAGTATGTCCAAAATAAGAAGTTTCACCCAAAAATGTCATCTGAACAAGTAACATGTCTGGCAGTTTTGTTCAGATCAACTGAAAAAAAAAAAAAATAGTTTTACAATAAATTGTGCTACCAATGGTGATTAATGATGCAAAGACGAATGACTCGAACCACTCAAACTGGAAAACATTATTACAAGCTTACCGTTGTAAATCGGGCTAAGGTAAGGAGATTTGAACACTGATCGGTTATGTATTTACTCAGAAATTGATTTTGTATAATTTTTAACCAAAAAAAAAAAAAAGTTCCGGAATGCAGCTTTAAATTTATGTAATCTTAGACTGTATTAAATATTATAATAGGGCATAATAGGTATACTTGTAGGCATAATAATAATAGGTTGCACATTTAGCATAAAACATGAAATTGGCACTCAGTAGAGGCTAGTTTGGTGCCATACATTATTAAAAAAACTCATATTTCCCAGAAAATATTGATCATATCTCCTCACCCTCAGGTTGGGCAGTACAGGTTCTTCAAACTTCTCCAGGCCGACCCAGTTTGCAGGATCCACGGGCTTCCGGTACAGTAGAGAATGATTCATGTCCATAATTTGCTCTTCTGTGTAGTTGGATGGCTACAGAGACCACAATCACATGATTAAACACAAGAACCAGCAAATCTGCTCTTCTGCTACAGCCGAACTAGATATGGATGGGCTTGAAATGACAAGCGTTTTTCATTAAATGTAAACGAATCCCATCTGAATAAGGACAAACTCATTTGATGAGTAAAAAAACCCACCATAGTACAAATACTTGAGTAGTTGCTGGGTTCGATGGTCTCTAGCTGATAAAACAACTTGCAGATGATGATGACACACGTCCACATGGTGCAAACGCTGGAAGCGAGAACTCGAAACTGCTTATACGGCAGCGCAAACGCCCATGAGATCAAAAACACATAGTTCAGGAGCGAGACCTGCAAAAGACACACGTGAGAAACAGAAACACCTTCAGATTACTGTATCATAACCTCAAGTGTGAGCTTCTACCTCTTTGACAGACAGCAGGATGATGTAAGTGGACACGATCTTGATGATGTGCATCTCCAGCAGCCACCAGATGAAGAGCTTCAGCTTATGGAAGTACTCCAGGAACTTGAGGAACAGGACCGTGAGCCGGTCCACCACCAAATGCCATTTATTCTTAAGGTCTGAAACAGAAGTGAGGAGAGATCTGACACCTGAAGCTTGATTTCTTTGGTTTACATGTTATGAACACAAGAGACACAATCTAAGACCAAAATACTAAACAGACTGTATCTGAGACAAAATGCAGTAAAGTCACTAAGTACTTTAACGTTAAACAGACACATATAAATGCATTTAAAAAATGAAGAAAAATGTGAACTGCTGAACTATCCAATAGTTTCATGCTTCAGAGGATTTGAAATCAATTGAATGTAATGCTCTCTTTACTGGATTAACAATGTTTTATATTGTATATTGTATATGCTTGGTGTAAAACACACACACACAAAAATGTATATTTAAAATATATATACAGTACATATACTGTATATGCACACTCCTATATGCCGCTAAGTAAGATTTTTTCTTTGAAACTATAAAAAAAAAAAAAAAAAAAAAAAAAAATATTTGTAATGAAAAAGCAAACTGTGCCTATGAATACCAAGTAAATTATTTTATTAATTTTTAAAAAAATGCATTTAATTTAATTTAATTTGATTCAATTTAATTTTACATTTTATTCAAAAAGTTCTTAAGAAAATGTGGGGGGATTGTAAAGAAAATAAAGAAATTCTGGCGAATTCAACATTCTGACACTGCAATAAATTAAAAAACCACAGTGAAACTAGAATTAAAACTAGAATTTTTTTTCTTTAATATCAGAGAAAAGTTCCTCTAAATGATGAATCACCCATATTTTCGCTGAACTTACATCACATGCTGCTCATTTTGGGTTATAAAACACAGTTATTTAAATGTTAGTGCCTTGAATCAGGATTCCACAGGCAGGGTTTGGGTGGAAAACATGGATGCCGTGTGCATTAGATCCGTAAGGAACAAGCCGGATTGCATAATTATTGTAAAGAAGCAATGCATGTGTCTGCCATACGTGAATCATGTGACCAAAAAACCAAACCAAAACAAACAAATATTTCAGCAGTCAGACTTTAGTGGCGATAGCCTCTTCCAGATGGTCTCGCTGCTATGAAGGGTTTAAACGCTTGCATGATGAGGTTTCATGTCAAATACCACACTTACTTGCTCTGAGGAGAAGAGATTTTTTGCTTGATGCTGTTGAAGCAATTTACAGAATGGAAATATACGAAATCAAAGCAATGAAAAGTTTCACACAATTGAACATGACTGTAAGGTGAGACAGAGAAAGAGGGACCGAGAGATTCTTTGAGGAGGAGAGGCCGTGCATTTCAGAGACATGCTGAGGAGATTCATTCCCTGTCAGAGACTGAGAGCAGGACTATCGTCAGGATATACCGGCTCAAGTAGGACTTTCTGGGATGCATTTGAGCACGCAGAGGTTTAAAGTCAACATGAAATCAAAACCGACCCTATTTCGTTTTTTAATACGCATTTGTGGCCATAAATGTTATTCAAAAACAAACATACAAAAAAAAGTATAAAAATGATCAAAGTAAATAACGCAGACAACCTCTGAAATAACGTTTGGCCAGTGTTGTTACTGTTAAATCTAAAACTATTTTTAAATATTAAATATTAGATGAAAGACAAAAAAAAAAAAAAACTAAACCGAAAAAGAGAATGCATTCAAACAGAAATATCAAAAACCAAAACTAATAAAAAAGAACAACTACATTAAATTAAACTGAAAACTAATTCAAAATGTTAATATATGCTATAATAGTATAGAAATAATACTAAAATAACAGTTATTATATCGGCTAATGTCACTGACCCTATGCGGGTTATTAGTTCAAATGAACAAACAGTCAAACGTCTATTTAGTTAATATTTTAGGCTCTTGTTGAAGGTAAAGCAGACTTTCTAAAATCTTACCAATAGTTAACGCAGCCTTTTAGTGCCTTTGAAATGTAATAAAGACACAGCCTTTCATTTCCCAATGAAAATTAATATTCAATGAGGGCAAAAAATTATTTGATCAACTTTTTATTTTATTCATCAGGACCTGATTTACATACACACACATTGGTCACTCGTTGAATATTTGTTTTTATTGGGGGAAAAAAACATCTGATTATGGAAATAAAACTTAATTTTGAATGCATTTTCATGTTGACTTTCTGTAACATTTAAAGCAAACGTTTAAGTTCTAGACAGGAAACCAAGTCCGTGGAAAAAGACACATAGATTTTTTGATCTATCCAGGAATCTAGCGGGCCGTTAAAAAAGTGGCATCATTAAGAGAGCAAAGAGTGTACTGACAAACAGGAGTAAGTGAGAAGAAAGAGGGATTATGGGAAATCAGGGAAAAGGTGAACATTGGTTGTTTTTTCCATGGATGCCAGAGAAAGATAAGCAGTCACCCACCTATCCACGATCAGATAGATACGACCACTGACTTTAGTACAGCTGTGAGGTGAGGGACGGCAGGGGAAAGACGGGAGCACATGATTGGTTAAAATAAGAAATAGATTTGCACGATGATTATTGGCAGCACACTGCTGCAGATTCAACAGAGAGAAACCAATCATGAAAGAAGCTAGTGAGAAATGAAGCATTAAGATCAACAAACAAACAAAACAAACCCCTTTATTACAAGTAAAAAATTGCTACTAATTTTCTGTTTACAATTCATAATTAAAGCAATGCAACACAAGAGATAATGATCAACAAACAATTATTATAAAATATTTGTATTAATGTTTAATAATAATTATTATAATTATTATTTTTTTTTATTATAATTATTTCACTAAGAAAATAGTTGATTTGAGATGTGGTTAAAGGTATGCATTTGTGTTACGACATCAAATGTGACTCGTTTAATCAGATTTCAGATATTATGACACATGACCTCACCTAAAATGACATCACACATCCACACTTCCCGGTAGCATCAGCCGTGACTAGCGGGAAAGCGTCTCTCACCTGTAAATGGTGCTCTGCTCTTTGCTGATGACGGCTTTGAGATCGGTGAGCTGCAGGAAGCGCTCGTGGAAGTAATGCAGGTGCAGGATGCAGACCAGCAGGAAGGACGTGGGGATGAAGATACGGGTGAACAACTCCGAGAGGCTGTACTTCTCCAGACCGATGTCCCCCAGTCTGAGAGAGCAACAGAGAATCATGACTTAAAACACTTTTATTTTGGTCAGAGTCGAAGGCAACACCAATATGCTTTGTGCCTCAAATATAAGGTTCTGTCAGGATGCTGACTCAACAAACAGCTCACTACGGTATGGTTTGTGGTAAGTCCACCTGATCAAACATATTTAGGATGATCAAAACTCACACTTTTTCTGACATGCCCGTCATACTGGACCAGGTATTGATGGCATTCTCAAACTGACAGGTGTAGATTAGGATGAGCACAAGCATGGTGTAAACCACCACAGACATCCAGAAGTACTTCAGGATCCTGCGCCACCACTCATAATGCACCTGAGGAGAACAAAACTCTCTGTCAAAGACCTTTAAAGGAAAATTTCACACAAAAATTCTGTTTCTGTCATAATTTATTTTTAATATTTCTAAATTTTATCATAATTTTTTGGTTATATATCTCATTATATCGTTTATCATTCATATATATATATATATATACACACATTAAAGTTATACAATTATTTGTAAAATTTACAGTAACAGACATCTTTTTAATGCAAAAATACAATTAAATATCAATTACATTTATGTACATTCTATCTATAGATTTATAATAAAAACTCAATTAAATTTATATATATTACACATACAAAATTATATAAAATGTATAATAAAATAGGCTTAACTTTATGCAAAAAATACAATAAGTTAGGAATGTGTGATATAAATCTACGATAATATTGCAATTCTTGTTTAAATGAAATGCGATTTGACATGATCAAGTATACTGCAAAAACCAAACAAAAACACACCCAGAGAGTGCACGCATAAACTAAGGGGGCAAATATGCCCCCGTATTACTTTTATATGTATTTTATATTTATCATCTGATATAGTTAACATCACACAAAGAGTGGTGCTTTTCTCCAAATATCAGTATGATTGCAAATGTGATATTGATTTTATAAAACAGTCCAATAAACAAGTTAATATTAACTGGATTACATTTTAGACTCAAGTTCCTTTTTTTTTTGCTCTATTTCGTCAACGAAAATACATTTGCACAAAGCCACAGCAGAACTGTTTTGCATCTCGGAACGACTCACAACAATGTTTCTTTACTGAATCAATGAGCCGTTTGAACGAATCGGTTGAATGAATGACTCAATGACTCACTCAGGCAGTGATTTGCCGCCACCTACTGGCGATTTTAGGTTTATATTTAAAGTACATTGTCCCTTTTTTCCCCCAAAAATCATTTCAAATATCTGTATTCAACGTTTTGTTTTTAAAACATCAAAACATTATTAATGCATTTGTAACTGCAGGTTAAATGCATTCATGTCCTGCATTAAACAGTCTGTGTGAATGCATCTAAATGCCACTTCAGATGCAGATTCTGTGCCACCTCTGCATTGCAGATACAAATTTTGTTGATACTGATTTGATTGGTAACAGTGCTATAGCGTCTTGAATTTATTGATTAAATGTAAGAATTTGACACAAAAGATGATGCATACATTTAATTAGGTTAGAAAAATTGGCCTTGTAAAGGTAAAAATGCCCATAAAAGGTAAAAATAAATGTAAACGTACTCCTGCAGACTAATCACCATATAGAATATCAAAAGCTTTGGGAGTCAGCTGTCTACAGCAGTCCTAAACCTGACAAAATACCAGCGCAATAACACTCAGCAAAATATCGTCTAATTATCGTTATAAAAAATTCCAGAAAATAGCGAGATATCATTTTTTGTCATTATCGCACACCCCTACAATAAATTATATATATTTTGCATAAAATTGTATATTGTATATACAAGGTTTAGAAATGCTTCTCATTGCAAGTTATTCCAAGGGAAGATGTTTGGCATACCGAATGGTTCAATATTATATTGAGAATTGACTCATCCCCTCAGCTGACACAAAACCTATAGACACAATGCCGAAAACAGCAACTATAGCAACTCACTTTTGTAACAGTTATGTAACAGAATGTGTTGAAATGTATAAATAAATCACGGTATACTGACATTTTATATTAAAAGTGTGTTTATGAATTCATAACTGTCATGGGGTTGCATTATAGTTGTGCACTTTCCAGCTATTGCTGCAAATAAATAAATTATCTGTAGAATGCCTAATAATTTATCTGTAAAATACTACAAAGAAATGACATATTTATATAAAATATACATTACTTCATTCATGCGTTTGGGGTCAGTATGATTATTAAACATTTTTGAAAGTCTCTTTTACTCACTAAGATTGCCAATATTTGTTCAAAAATACAGTAAAAACAGAAAAATCTTGAAATATTATTACAATTTCAAATGACTATTTAAATATATATTAAAACCACCAGCAGAGCCATCACTAGTTTCCCAATCACATGCATCAGGTCATTCTCGCCCCCCTCCTCTTCCTCTTGGTCTTTTTCTTCCTCTAAACCCCACATGGAAAGTTATTTTTTATGCATTAAGACAGTGACGATTACAGGATTTAATCTGTACGTTATACATAGGAAACCATTTGTTTTAGATTCTAATAAACAACCCACGTTTTTCCTGCTCATCTACTTTGACGTCACAAAGCGCTGCTTCCTCTTCCATCTTCTCTCGTCGTTCCATCAAAGTTTGTCTGAGCAGCAGCCAGAAACTCAGCTGACACAAAACCTATAGACACAATGCCGAAAACAGCAACTGTAGCAACTCACTTTTGTAACAGTTGTGTAACAGAATGTGTTGAAATGTATAAATAAATCACGGTATACTGACATTTTATATTAAAAGTGTGTTTATGAATTCATAACTGTCATGGGGTTGCATTATAGTTGTGCACTTTCCAGCTATTGCTGCAAATAAATAAAATATCTGTAGAATGCCTAATAATTTATCTGTAAAATACTACAAAGAAATTACATATTTATATAAAATATACATTACTTCATTCATGCGTTTGGGGTCAGTATGATTATTAAAAGTTTTTGAAAGTCTCTTTTGCTCACTAAGATTGCCAATATTTGTTCAAAAATACAGTAAAAACAGAAAAATCTTGAAATATTATTACAATTTCAAATGACTATTTAAATATATATTAAAACGCAATTTATTCCTCTGATCAAAGCTGTATTTTCAGCATCATTCCTCCAGTCTTCAGTGTCACATGATCCTTCAGAAATCATTCTAAGATGCTGATTTACTGCTCAAGAAACATTTCTGATTATTATCAAACACTTGTGCGGCTTCATATTTTTGTGGAAACTGTGAAACACTACCATTCATATAAATATTATATTTCTAAAAGATAAAAACTAAAAAGGAAAAAATAAATTCATACTTTTAATCAGAAAAGCATTAAATTGATCAAAAGTGACAGTAAAGATGTGTATAAGATGTTACAAAAAAAGTCTAGTTCAAACAAGCGCAGTTCATTGAATTTTATATTTATCAGAGAATCCTAATAGCAAAGTCAGCATTACCTCCTCTCCTAGGTTCACGAAACGGTCGTCCATAAAATGCATTGCTGTTCTGTTGTAAGTGATCTTAAAGATTCCTAAATGCATCTACTTCTGGAAGGCCAAATAAAGTGCTTTTGCTTTCGCCTAGAAACACACAGCGTCTCCCTGACATGCTGCTTCAACACTAACTGCGGTTACTGAAACCATGCCTTCTTTCTTTGCGTGCACATTTGGGCGGCATTATGCAAATATTTCCACATAGTGAGCTAGATATGTGGGGGCGTGTTAAAACGAGCCGTTTTAGGGGGGCGTGGCAGAGTCTTAACTTTGATAAAGATTATCTTTTTGGGTTCGAGACTTTAGTCTTTGCAACTTCAGGGATCTTATCTATGCACAATCAGCTTGTAACACTCCAAAGAGAAAGGAAAACTTTCCCCCTTTCCACTGACCCCTTTAATATACAGCATGCAAGATTAATTTTTTTAATTAAAATTGTTTTTGCAGCCAGTCTTAGAAATATGAAATAGATATACAACTAGTTTTAACACACACACGTGGTGTTTTAATACACAGCTGTGTGTAAAAATCTTTACTTGTACAAATGGGTGAATCTCACAAAACCTACAAGAAAATGTCCAAAAAAAGAAACAAATAAGTAATTACATTCAACAGAAAGAAAACAAATAATTTTTTTTTGAATAGTGACATTTTCTTTAACCACATATTTTTGCTATTTTTGCATACAACAGCTATTTTTTAAAGAAACATTTAAATCTAATGAATTTTATGGGATTAATTGGAATTATGGGGAAAAAATTATAAAGTTATAATTGAAAATATATAATTATATTATATATTTTTATACATTTAAAATAATTTATAAGTATAGATAAACTGCACAGTATTGCAGTATATATAATATATATATA